TGCTGTCTGGCCAGTGGGTGGTCGCGTCCTCCTGGCTCCGCGCTTCCTCGGCGCGGCCCGGCTGGGTGGCGGAGGAGGAGCACGAGGTACGGGCCTCTCGGCTAGCCTCGGCTAGCTTCGGCCTCACTTCGCCTAGCCTCGGCCAGCCTCGGGCTCACCTCGGGCTCTTCTCGCGAGGTGCACGGCGACAACTCGTCCATCTCCGCCGTCAGCGGCCTCGGCGCCGGAGGCCCTCGCAGGGGAAGGCGAGAGGCAGCCGAGAGGCAGCCGAGAGGCAGCCGAGGCACCGGAGGCCCCCCCTGGGGAATACCCCCAGGGGAAGAGGATGCCAGCGAGGGGGCGGCGCCACGCCGCTCTGTTCTTGCCGTCCGCGCACAGACCTTTATCTAAAAACAAAACAAAAAAATCGATGAGACACCACTAGGGGCTGGGGGGCTCCGATCTCCATCTCTCCAGTACTCTCCAATCTCCAGCGTCGCTATATCTTAGGCCGGATCCAGTCAGATCTCCGATCTCCATCTTCAATCTCCAATCTCCAACGTCGTCATCTTAGGCCGGATTCAGTCAGATCTCCGATCTCCATCTCCAATCTCCAATCTCCACTGTCGATTCGGGGGCCCGGGGGAGGAGGGGGGCTCAAACCTTCAAGGAGATGCGCTATGGACTCATTCACAATGCAAAAGGATCTCCACCCTCTTTTCGCGCCATTTTGCAATCTCCAGTCGGCCCACACGATCTCTAGGCGCCTTTGGCGCGAAGTCAGAATCTCCACCTCTGTTGCAAGATCTCAAGCGACTGCACGCACCAAACGCGAGATCTCAGACTCCTCTCGAGCTTGGCCTAAGCACAATATTCTCGAATATCTCCGAGAATATAGATGGTCCCGCGCACTTTCGTATTCGAGAATATTCTCGAGAATATAGATGCCCCGGCGCGGCTTTTTCTCAAGAATCTATGAGTTTTCTTCAGCCCTTGACCTTGGTTGACCTCGAGTCTCAAGATATTCTTGAATATTCTCGCCGTTACATCGCGGCGTCTAGAACGGTCTTGACTAGAGCTTCTCGAAACAGCTCTTTTGCCCCCTCAAAAGTAGGTTTTGGGTCGATGCAGACGGAAATCTTTAAGTTTTGGACGTTCCTGAGCGGTTTGGGAGCACAAACCTCTACTTTAGAGCGATTTTTGGCGTCCGCTGACCTCTCGCGTGGTGAAAATATTCTCAATATTCGAGAATATTCTCGAGAATATAGATGGTCTGGCGAGAATATAAGCAAAAGAATATAGATAGTACTTGGCGAGAAAAACGTGCTTAGGCTAATCTCGATCGAGCATCTACACCGGAGAAGATTTGCCTCCAGCAGTTCTTCAATCTACTGCAGCTCTTGGCAGGAGATTTGCCACTTAAGAGATCTCTAAAAGGCATCTACGATCTACAGTCCAAGGATCTTCCGATGTTGCGCAGAGATTTCCATGTATGTGTCCAAAAAAGAAAAACTCGGCCATCAGCCCAAGATGCGCTGATTGCGAAGTGAAGGGCGACTGTCTCGCTACTAGCTGATGGTCCTCATCCCTACCAGCCGCTCCACGCACTCTCCGCCGCCCGCCCGCCCTCCCGTCCGCCGGCCCGTCTCCCACCTCGACCTCGAGCCGCCTGAGCCGCGCCCCGCCGAGGACGAGTGCGAGGTGGTCCCAGAGGAGCCGCTGCTCGTCTCACAGCTGCGCTGCGAGCTGCGCTGCTGGGAGCGCGGCGTGGGATTCCGGCGGCGTCTCTTCGGGCGGCAGATTCGCAACACCGTGCGCCGGCTCCCCGACTGGTTTGTCGCCCTCGCGATCACGACGCACCTGCTGGTCGTCCCGGTTGCCATCCGCGGCGTCGAGCTGCTGAAGCCGACGGTCGAGGTGCGGCTGGCGGACCGCGCGGTCCGCGACGTCCGGCAGAGCACCTTTGAGGCCATCTGGGGGCTCGTCGAGGCGATGCACTACTCCCCGACCTCGGCTTCGGGAGATGAGAGGTGGGAGAGGTGGGGGGACCGGCTCGGGGAGGCGATCGGCGGGGAGGAGCCTTCGATGCGGTCGGCGGTGCGGTCGGAGGTTGCCTTCGGCTCGCTCGCCTCGAGGCTCCTCACCGCGCTCGACGACCCGTATTCGCTCTACGCCGGCCCCGACACGCTCGCCGCGCTACCGCCCGCACTGCCCGCTCGAAGCAGCGCTTCGCTGCCCGCGGGGCTGTCGGTGAGGCCGCACTCGGCGGATGGAGCGGGCGAGCGGCTGTACGCAGTGGGCCACTATAGTGGGTCTCTTCACCACGCGCCTCCTCCCCCCTCGACTCCTCCCCCCTCGCGGGAGGCGGCCTCCGCCGTCCTG